ATATATAGTTAGCAGTTTAATGGTTAGCCCTAACTGCAAGTGTTGGTCTTGGCCATAGCATTTATATAGAATTATTTTTGTATATAATAGCTTTACAAAGTTACTAACTTTAAAAACTACAAATAAAAATATAAGCAAGGCTTTACCTTAACACTAAAAAAAAAATTACATAATATGCAGAAAATTAAATTGGTTATACACTAATTATGCAATATATAAATTCTATTTTTGTTATACAAATATATAAATTTAGATATATAGTATTATATATAAAAAATAACAAAACTACTTTTTTTATATATTTATTATAAATGAATCAAAACTGAATTTTTGGTTATTAAAGAACATAAAAGTATAAGTCTGTCATTTTGCTCAAGACAATTATATTACAAGTTATAATTATATAGCTAAACAGATAGACAAATTTAGCTTAAACATCTAATATATATTATATAATAAAACATGATCATATAGATGAACAAATGAACAAAAGTTTACTAATAACTTAAAATATAAGTTCTTTGTGATACTCTAAACAATAATTAATATTGCAATACAATAAACTAATTATTGGCTTTTAAAAAATTTAAAAATTTTTATAATTAATTTTATTTGTAAATTATTTTATAAAATCTTTAAATATTAGTATAAAAAATAAAGACCAAATGATTTTATTATTAATAAATAGTAATATAATTAAAATAATATAAACAAAACAAATTTATAAACTATCTTATTCTACTATTGCATTATGAATTAAAATTTGTAAAAAGAAATAGATATTAATTTAAGAGAATTAGTATTCATACTCCCCATATTTGGTATTCATACCTTCTAACAAAAAATTAAAAATTTGAAAATTCAAGTAAAGATATCTTGATGACTACCTAATTAAATTCAATAAATTTTTTTTTATTTCAATTTTATGAATATATAAAATTCAAATAAAAATTTTTCATCAAAATTTATTAGATGATTATTAAGATATTTATATTCAAAGTCAAAGAAAATCAAAATGTCTATTAAAATGATTATATTAAATTTTTTAAAACTTTGAGTAAAGATATCTTAATAATTACCTGATCAAATTTAATGGATATTTTTTTATTTGAATTATATAGATTTATAGGATTCAAATAAAAAAAATTTATCAAAATTGATCAGATGATTGTTTAGATATCTTTATCAAACATTTTTAAAAAACCAAAATATCAATCAAAATAAAAGCTGTATTCAAATTTTATTAAAACTTTGAATAAAGATATCTCAACAACTATTTAATCAAATTTGATGAATTTTTTTATTTGAATTTTATGGATTTATAGATTTCAAATAAAAAAATTCATCAAAATTGATCAGATAGTTGTTAAAATATCTTTGCTTAAACATTTTTAAAAAACTAAAATGTTTATTAAAATAAAAATGTGCCAAAATTTTATTAAAATGTTGAATGAAGATATCTTAACAACCATCTAATTATATTTAATAAAGGTTTTTTATTAGAATTTTATAGATTCATAGAATTCAAATAAAAAAAATTTATTGAGTTTGGTTAGGTGGTTGTTGAAATATCTTCACTCAAAGTTTTAATAAAATTTTGGTACAACTTTTATTTTGATAGATGTTTTAGTTTTTTAAAAAAGTTTGAGCAAAGATATCTTAATAACTATTTGATCAATTTTGAGAATTTCTTTAATTGAATTCTATGAATCTATAAAATTCAAATAAAAAAACTCATCAATTTGATCAAGTAGTTGTTGAAATATCTTTATTCAAAATTTTAACAAAATTTTAGTATAGCTTTTATTTTAATAAATGTTTTAGATTTTTTTGAAACTTTGACTGAAAATATCTCAGTAACTACTTGATCAATTTCAATAATATTTTTTTTATATGAATTTTATGTATTCATAAAATTCAAATAAAAAAAGTTTATCAAATTTGATTTAGTAATTATTAAGATATCTTCATTCAAAGTTTTAAAAAAAATTTAATATAACTATTTTGATAGATATTTTGATTTTTCTTTGACTTTAAGTAAAGATATTTTGATAATCATCTAATTAATTTTGATAAAAATTTTTTTATTTTAATTCTATGTATTCATAGAATTGAAATAAAAAAAGTTCATTGAATTTAATTAGATAGTCATCAAGATATCTTTATTTGAACTTTCAAATTTTTAATTTTTTGCTAGGGGGTACAAATACCAAATGCGAGAGGCATGAATACTAGTCCTCTAATTTAATGATATTAATGAATTTGACTTAATAAATCTAATACTAATAAAAGTAATACTAATAAAATGTAACATTTTATAATAATATTAATAATATATATAGTATACAAAAACAATGTTTTCTGTAAAAATTGTAAATTATTATATTTTGTAATTTTTAAAAAAATTTCTAATTGTACATAGATGTTATATACACTGGTATTAATTAATTTATTTAACAAATTCTTGTAAGATAAAATTATAACCCAAAAAATTAAATCCGATTTAATGTTAGAGCAAGGTTAGCTTTAGGACTAGTAAGGTCATAGTTTATAATAAAATTTTAAAGAAATATTTTTTGTTAGGACTCTAAAAGCTGTTTTATTATTAGAATTTTGAGATATCAAAATACCCGTGTTTTATACATAAATATTAAAAATATAAATATATAAAAAGACATATTATTATATGTTAGCATAAAAATAATTTGCGATATGACATTAAATAATCTAATTATGGTACCCGAATATTTTATGACCAATTAAATTATAAAACGTGCATAATACCCGGATACTTTACACTAAAATTACTAAAAAGGAATTGGGGTATTATGCTAAGGGGAGTATTTTACTCCACAGAATATGCTAAATGTTATGGACTTGTACCAATCTCCGATCCTAGTTTAGAGTACGTGCAATTTAATGTGACTTGTACGTGTCTGTAGACTTTCCTGTTGTTATTTTTAATAAAAGCACGTGAAATTTGACCAGCGTTAGTATTATGGTTGGGAATGAGATGATAAATGTCACATAGTAAAGTCGGCCACGATTTAAAGTTACACAAAATTACACCTAATCTTGCGATCTACACTTAAAACTTTCCATTTTTGAATTTGTATCACTTACAGAAATAAATGTACGCATCCCTCAACAGGAGGGAACGTACCCGATCCAAAGTGAATCCCACACATGGTGTGATCAATTAAAACTAATATAAATCATTTGGATCGGGTACGTACAATTTCGTGTAACACTCATGCAACTTATAAGGAGAAAATGTAGCATGACCATTTGCATACCAATAAATGACTATTTTTGTAGACGTGTTGCAAATTTTGTTAAATACAAGGTCATAAACGATTTTTTTTGGAGTCGTCGTTGCTGAAATAGTCGTTTTCATTGGTGCAAGTCTTTTTCCTGATGGATATTGTTATTACGTGCCTTTTGGTCTTTGGAATTGTCAGTTTTGAAATTCTTTCTAGTGGACTTTTCATCGCCAGTTTTCACGTGTTCTTTGGCCCTGAAACCTTTTCTAGTGGATTATATCGTTGTGAATTAAATGCACTTTGCAAGAACACTAAATCGACTTCTTTAAATCTTAATAGAATTGAAGTTGAAACGGATGAAAATATAAACCATTTATCTATTGTCAACAATTAGCAGAGATGAGAGACATTAGCAAGACATTTAATGCTGGATATTATTATGACAAAGAAATTAAATTGAAAACAATGAACAAAATGGATCAATTTATTTTCAAAAATCTGCAGAGGTGGGTAATGTTGATGGAACATATATAATTTGGTTAAGAAATTGTTGTTATTTAATAGAATTGCAGCACATAAAATGTTCGTTTATTTTTGAAAATCAGCAAAGATTGGCGACGCCAGTAGAAAATTTAATGTTGAATTTGTTATGATATAGAAAATTGTAGTTGGAGAGGATGAACATAAGGTACTCATTCATTTTCAAAAAGTGCAAAAATGAGAAATTATAATAAAACACATAATTTTGGTAAGAAATTATCATGTATACTATATGAATTGAGATATATAAAGCATTTGTCTATTACTTTCATTACTTTATTCGCATTACTTTATTCACATTACTTTATTAGCATTATTTTATTTGTATTACTTTAAGGGTTTATTAATCTAAATAAGTATCTCGGTTTACGAAGATTTACTATAAATTTTCTTTATTTGCATTTAACTATCTTGAGGTGTTTACGCTTTGGTAAGTAATTTTTTTCCTAACCCTGGCAACTTTTATTTATTTTAGTTTTTTATTATGTTCCTTAGCCCTTCTCAGCACTACCAAATATTACGTTTACTTGTCTTATATATTTACACACTAAATATTTTTGCTGACGGATTTTTTCTGTTCACTAGATTTTTCCCATCAATTTCTACTACCTGGTTGTTCATAATGCCACCTCATTGTCGTGAATTCAATCCATACTTGATTTAGTCTATGTGTTAAATATAAGGGTTAGTGAATTTGTTACACCTACCTTCATCATGCGGTGGTTTGGACTTAGTTTTCTGACCCAGTCCTTATTTTATTCCTAGGCTCAATTTCAATTTTTTTACGAAAGATTTATATTTACGCTTTTATTTCACTTGAATATCCTTTAGATTTTATTAACATTCTTTAACCATAATTCACTGGTTATTTCAAGGTCTCCTACAGTACACGCCTTATGCCAGTCATATTTAGCATTTATTACAGGTTGGTCATTATTCATATCCGCAGATTCTCAATAATAAATGGACACCTTATATTTATCTGGATCAATTCCATTTTGGTGACAGAATTTAGGGTCATATTGTTCGTTTGAATTATCACTTTCAGCACGTTTCAAGCACAGTTCAAGATTATCCAACTATTTGAATAATTGTCTTTAACCGATTCAAGTATCATTCTAATACATTGAATCCATCTCAGACAAACTCTTAATTATGAACATATGCCTTATGCTTTCTCCGATTTCATATATCATTCTAAGATTTCACGTCTATTTTCGGTAAGTAAACGATTTGTGGTATTTCAATTTTTCTTATATCATTCATTTTCTTTTGCAGTAAGTCTTGTCGTGGGGGGGTTTTTTTATATTGGGTACAAGTTTCGTTTTCACAACATTTTCTGTTTTCGAATTCCTCAGTGGCTTTTCTAAACTTTGTTTGCTGGTCTTCTTCTGACTTTTGAAATATTATCGGCTTTAAAAATATTTGCTTTCGGTTGACTTTCTATTTTCTCAAGATTATTTGGCCTCTAACGAGTTTTTTCGTCTGTTGGTTTTGCGGACGTATCTTACGGCTTTTCTGTTCTATTTCACAGTTTATAGATTCGATCATTCAGTCTCATTCCTTTGGAATAGGTAATAATTAATCTCTCGGTCATCAACAAAAATGATAGAGGCAAAATAAAGATGTATTCTCTATTTTGAAGTGTTTACGATTTGGCGAGCATTTTTTTCTAACAACTGTATTGTTTTTTGCTAAAATTAGCACCTTTATTTATTTATTATCATGGCCTTTAGCCTTTTCTGGGTATTACCAAAGATAAGTAAATTATTTAATTTACTCGTCTCTTTTATACATTTTTACATTTTTACTATCAGTTTTTTTTTTATTCATTAGATTTCACTACCAATATCTACTAGCTGATTATTCACTATGCGCACATGAAATTTCGGTATCGTGAATTCTATACATGCTCAATTTATGTAGTTGTCGAATTATTGGAAATTATTAGTTCGATCACGGATGCATGGATCGATCAGGGTGCATGGTACTGACATGGTCGAAACGGCGAGTCGATCGCTCCTCAATCGTATACGTCGTGCACCTACAAATCGGCTTATTCGAAAGAGTCGGTTATATTTGACGAGTGGGGTTATGTTCGTAGGTATGTCTTCTTTCTTCCACTTGTCTTGGATCTTCCTATACTGCTTACTAATACACAAATTCTTGTACTCACTATCCCTATAATCAAAACCACGGCTAGGACCTTCCTCTTGGACCTCAAACTGGAATAAAACATCCTCAACTATCCACGGTACATTGGGAGTGTTGTAAACAACCATGATAGTCCTCAGTACGTCGAGAATCAACCGGACAGGGTAACGATACACTTTACGATATCACGTGAGCAAGAATACAAGAGCGTCGATCGTACTAGTTATGCACTTAAGCAGTAGATCTGGATGTAAGTATTTATTTTATAACGTAGGGAATGTCTAATTATAATGAGACTAATTTATTCTAGTCATGAATAGTGATGTGCCGCGTACAGTACTGTACGTACTGTACGCGAAAATTTTTGCCGATACTTTATGCCAGCCAATCAAATCGCTAGATACGCACTGTACGTTTATCATATAAATGGCACATAACTAGTCATGAACTATTAATGTCTTCTTCGTAGGGCTTGAAGCCTTTATTATATACTTTCTTTTACATGGGACACATTATACATCTTACTCGTGATATATTAATTATACTTATTATCCTACTTATACCATTTATGATGTTTATACTAATTATTATAATTATATATCATATCATATCCCACTAATTCTCTTTATTACACTGATAGAGTATACAGTGAGCGTATACTGCCAGTAAACCCATTTTAGGTAGGTGATCGACATAGCCGTTAATTCGTTACTGCGCTATGTCGATCGCCTTCTTCTTGGGATTACAGTCCTGTGGCCCACAGTACGATAATCAATCGTACTACATTGGGGCACGATTCAAGGCAAGATCTAAATTTGAAGAAGACCCCTAGCAAAATGGTAAAAGACGAAATCCTTGGTGAAATAGTGAAACATTAGCGAAAGCCAGAACTTCTTAGTGGATGGTGTGATTCTTGGCAATAATATAAAACATCTAAAACTTCGAAAAAGACTAATTAGATAAGTTTATTTTTTAATTTGAGCTTTCTTGTTAATGATCATTGTTATAAAAATTAAAATA